AGCATCTGCACTCAGATCCCTCCCAGGGTTCGAGCATCATGATGAGTCAAGACATTGTTTACAATGCCTCAAGCCAAGTAGTGGCGCCAAGGATGCACCAAGAGCTGTCTCACTGGAGCTCAGGAAGACCACGGGGGGCTTTGGTCTTAAACCCACGTCCTACGACGAGAAGTTCGAGACAAGCTCTAATATTCGGATTTCCAAGCATGCTGCTGACGCCAACATGGCCCGTAGCGGGGACGCCATTGACAAGTGCGTCAAGTTGTTTGAGGATATGCTCGGGAAGTGTAAACTCAGTAAACACGCGCATGCGCACTGCGCCGTGATATATGCGCAGGACAGCGACGGCAATGTTACTCTTGACCAATACGCATACATAAAACAGCCCCGTCCGATCCAGCATCAGGAACTAATTCGCGGGCGCAGATGCTGGCGCCAAGGCGCCGAATATTGTAATTGACATGTTTGTCCGCCCCAGAGGCGCTATGGCTTGCGCCCTTCGCATGCGCGGTTAATGGAATACGTTGCATCGCTACAGCGCGCCCGAGAACCGGCCGACGTGCCAGCGCGACGACTGTGAGCGATCACCTGGAAGTCGCAGGCCTGCCCCAAGAAGATCAGCTATCAAGCAGTGACATCGACGGGCGAGGTTGACCTGCGCGGCGATTCCGGCTACCGGCGTCTGCGCGGAGATGCCGATGACGAAGTCAAAGGCCACGGTGCTCGCGAGGCTAGCCTGCTAAGGCGTGGACGCGCGCATGCTGGCAAGCCCGTCGTCCATTTTGTCGACGCGCAGTGCAAGTCTCATCGCTCGCAGGTCCGCTCGAGCTACTCAGCGGAAACAATTGCAGCGGCCCACAGTTTGGAGGGCTGCTATCCCACGATCGTCACTCTGCGCGAACTTCACGCAGGGCCGCTGACACCCAGTCAACTGAAGGATATACTTGATATGGGCGGCCTGAGCACTATGGCCACCTTGACCATCGATGCAGAATATGCATTCAAGTTCTTGTCGAGCGAAGACCTGAAGAAGCCGACTGAGCATGCACTTTTTGGGCATCAGTTGGGCGCGACAAGTGATGGAGCGAAGTATATTTGCGCGCAGTGGTGTGACATTCGCGATATGATTGCGGATGGCCACACCAAGGGGGGCATCGACAGAGACATGCCCCTACGAGTCATGGGAGGAGCGAATCCTTCAATCGCGGCCTAAAACGACACACTCCCTACAGGGATGGCCAGACAAGATCATGTGAGCCACCAGAGGAGTAGTTATATGCAGGGTAGTTTGCCTGCGAGGTGAACTTCTTGCAAGATAACTCGCATGCGGGCCAGCCTGCCTTTGGTGGGCCCGCCTGTTGCTCCCTACCTTGTGTATTACAGCGTTTTGCTGTATAGCTGGCGGCGGACTCACGCTTCGTCTCCCCCCCCGGACTCTACAGGAGGTTGGGCAGATGCGAGAAGTAGCGAGCGTTTGTCCGCGGCCGTTTGTGCTCAAGCGGCCGGCCGCCAAGATATGACCGCGCCTCATCGCGAGGCATCATTCCCCATTGAGACCGAACACATATTCGCTTGACATGGCTCGTCGCTCCCGCGACTCTTTCTTGCTCTTCGAACTTTCGCTCATACGGTATAGCAGAGTTGGATATGGACTTCGCCTTTGGCGAAGCATCTGGTTGGGCCTCTCGACCAGCATCAAACTGAGGGTGCATCTGGGGGGGGGTCCGGGAGGAGGGAGGGGGGTCCCCCAGTCCAAGGGGGAATGGGCAACGGGGGGGGGACTTTCCCTGTGTCCCTTGTCCACAAGGGGGGGGGGGGGGGGGGGGGGGGCGCGGGGGTTCTGAACCCCCCTTGTCCACAGTGGGGGCCGCCCCCTTTGCCCCCCCTGTCCAAAGCGGGAACCCAGAAGGGGGAGACGGGAGGGCCTCAGATATAGGGGGAACACCCCCTGTCCCCCCAGTCCATCGGGGGAGCCACGGAAGGGAGGGGGGGGCGTGACTTCACCTTGTCCACAGGGGGGGTTGCGTTCCTTGAGCTTTCGATATTCCATATGATGTCGCTCTTCTGTCGAATCAGCCCACGCGGGCACCACGCGCGCATGCCGAAACCATTCTGCAAGTATCGCGCACCCGCGAATTCAGTCACAAACTACGGTGCAAGCTACATGTGCGCGTCCCCGCGAGCGCATCCGCAATGGATCGCGAAACCATTTTTTGCTTGAAAGGTTGAAGATCGGTGTTGCCAAACATCTATGAGAAACGGCGGTGTTCAAGTACGAATGTGACGGAGCTTATGCGCGCGCATTGTCACATTATCATTGTCATACCATCGTGACCATGTCTGCCACCGTCATCAATGCCATCGCCATTATCCTCACCACCATGTTCGCCACCATCATAGTCAAACAGAGGTTCCCATGTCAAACATGAACTATTTGCCAATTACGTGAATTCTGCGCGCGGACCCTTTGGCAGGGCGCTTTCTGACTCCTACGGGCCGATCCGATCCAATTTCCCAAGTTGCCGATTCGATCTGACTCGATGTTCACGGTTCCGATTTCGAGTTCACCCGATCCGATTCCTGCCGATTCGATCTTTCAGCCATTTTTTGCATATTTGTCCGATTGGACTTCCTTCCGGGGGAGCAGGGAGGATCCTCGTCGGCGACGACGGCGACGACGACGGCCTCCAGCAGCGACGTCGACGGCGACGACGGCGTCCACTGCGACGTCGACGGGGGAGGCGAGGCCGGCCGCAGGCCTCGACCCTCGACTCGGAGGGATCTCACCCGAGGAGAAGGACGGCGGAGGAAGGAGGAGGAGGGGGGAGGGAGGGAGGGAGGAGGCGGCGGCGACGACGGCAGCCCCCCCGAAGGGCCCCTCAAGGGGCACCCGACAAACCCCTCCTGGGGAGGTTCCCCCCTTCTCTCCCAGGTCTGCGACCAAAAAATGACACACTTTGTGTGCCATCGCATTTTCTTTTGCGGCGTTGGGCGCCCTGGCGCGGACGGCCGAACGACCCCTGCAGCTGGACGCCCTGCCCACACGGTCGGCGCCGCAAAAACTGCCCGTTCAACGCGGGCGCCGCGCAAAGGCGCGCTCGCGCCGTGGGCGACATGGGCGGCGGCGCGGGCGACATGGGCGACATGGGCGACATGGGCGACGCGTGCGACAAAAAATGTGCGACATGGGCGCCCACGTCGCACAGATGGGATTATGAAAGTGCGTTCGGGGCGGCTCAGGGGTGAGGAAAAAATGCAGAGTTTGTGTGCCAACGCATTTTCTTTTGCGGCGTTGGGCGCCCTGGTGCGGACGGCCGAACGACCCCTGCAGCGGGACACCCTGCCCACACGGTCGGCGCCGCAAAAACTGCGCGTTTCACGCTGGCGCCGCGCAAAGGAGGCGCCGAAGGCACTTTGGAAGTGCCTTCGTGGCGGCTCAGGGTGCGACCAAAGAAATGACGGGGGGGATCACAAACCCTCTCCCCAGGAGGTTCCACAAATTTTCTTCCCAGGGGGGTCCACAACGCCCTCTCCCCTCTCTGGGGGCTCCATCCCCCCCCCGCAGGGGTTCGCGGACGTCCCTCCCCGGGAGGGTCCACAAATCCCCCAGGGGCGGGGGGTGGGGTCCACAAATCTTCTCCCCGGAGGGGTGTCCACACACCCTCCCCTGGGAGGGTCCCCGCCCCCCGGAGAGGTTTGCAAACCACCCTCCCCACCGGGGTTGTAACACCCCCAAGGGGGTTTTGCAGTGTGCACCCCCTGGTTGGGCAAGCTCCTACGTTGGGACGACGTTCGACGACTCACGACGACGATGGCGACTACTTTCGGCGCTTTAGACAACGTGCGACGACGGTCGATGGACGGTCGGACGACGATTGCGACATCGTTCGGCGACGTCGGACGACTTACGACAACGTGCGACTTCGACGGACGGGGATTTCAGAAATGAGTCCCACCAGAGGACGCGCGGATTGTGCCTGCCGATTTCGATTCCGATCCAGCCTCCGTCCAGCCGATTTTCAGACTCGACCTGGTTCTGCTCTGCCGACTCTTGACGATTTCGATTTGGCAGCCGATTTTGCCACTTTCTGCCGACTCCATGTTCGGGTCGACCCGACTCGACTTATCGATTCGATGTTGGGCCCTGTTGCTTTGAGTTCGTGAGAAATCCATGGACCATCATCATCGTCATTGTCATCGCCGTTGGCGCCACTTTTTTTGCCAACAAGTTGCGGGAAGGTGGGTGGGATGCTTGCACGAGCCATGGAGGTGATCACACACGGAAGCGGCCAATGTTTAAACGCTTGATAGTCTGAACCGTTTTAGTTGCACTCAATTCCTGAAGATTCGAAGTTTGCAAACCGTACCTTGTTTCCCGTCGGCTCGACTCCAAAAGCTGCACCCCGCACGTAGCACCTTGTACATTGCATATAGTTTGCTGCACCGCATGCACTGCATCCCATCTGTTGCTCCGTCTAAGTTGTCTTTCGCAGGTGGCATCCGGCCTCTTGCATCTTGTACCGCGTTGCACCTGGTAGGTTTCACCCCACAGGTTTCTTCTCACAGGTTACACAGGGCCCAGATGTCTCCCCTGTCTGTTTGGCCAGCGGTTCTAGGTGGCACGCTCCGCTCGTGAAAGGCTCCAAGTCCACTGGGTGCTGCCGAACGACAGGTCACAGATCCAGGTGGCAGGAGGATGCGGCGCGAATAAATTCTGATTCGCGTGAGGCAGCGAGTACCGTTAACAAGCAGAACTAAGAGACAGACGAGTTTAATGTCGGCGGGAATGCACGTGGGTGTGGGAATACGCGGGTGTGGCAATGCACGTGGAGATCAGCGTTTGAAGTACAGACTACAGAAGAGAATGCAAGCGCACGAACGACAGGACCGCGATCGACGACGGGTATCATTTCGCTATGTTGACCTTTGTAAAGGAAGGGTGATCGAGGGGTGCGGGCAACAATTTACGTATATCAACTGCTATGACTTCCACCTCATAGGTGCGAGGATATGATAATCGAGCTTTTGCAGGAGAAGTACCCGGAACACAGCATCATCGGGGAGGATCGGCTTGCTATAATGTTTCGGGGGTTCTGCGAAGCTCCTCAGTTCTTTGAGCGGTGCGCGCCAGTCTTATGGAGTATGTTATGTCAGTGTGTGTTTGGTTTGGATTTTCGCACATAACGCTCTTCCCCTCGCACTGAATCCGCATCTGTTCGGCATTTTGCAGTATCTTTATGCGAGTTGCTGCACTCGCTTTATAAAATCGATCGATTATCCCGTGCCTGTCACTGGAGGTACATCCCGTCAGAGTTTTTAGTGTGTGTTTGTTTGTGCGTGTGTGTGTGTGTGTGTGCTTGATTTGGTTCGCATGTCCAATCGCTTGATTTGCGCGCCCTTGCGGCCAAGTACTGCTCACTGTGAGTCGTGTAGGATAATCCCAGGCTTGGTTGAGATCGATCCCCGCCTCCCAGAGGACGCCCCCCCCTCTGCTGAGGAGACAGCCGGCTCTTCCAAGTACCAGCTCACAGACGGACCCACATGGACGATTGACCCTATCGATGGCACCACGAACTTCGTGCACCGGCTGGCCGCGTGGCTCGGCAAAAGGTAATAAGGGAATAGCGTGACAGGGTAAGAGGACACGGAGAAATCGGAGGATGACGAGAGCTGTGGGTTCGAGCACAATTTGGAGGCCATGGGAAAAATGATGCCGTAGCGAGAAGGCGAGAGTCCGAGGAGGAAAGGATCAATCTTCCAAGTATGAGCTCGCAGACGGACCCACGTCGACCGATTCCATCAGTGGCACCACAGGTTTCGTTCATTGGCTGCCCCGCACCGCTCGGCCACAGGGAGTGGGAGGAGTCTGTTTTGGGCGGGGAGGAAGAGACGGAGGGTGACAACGATTATGGGGTCAGGGGCAACGATCGGGATGGATGGGCGCAGGGGTGCACGCATCGTTTTCCAATCGCCGATTGATCGCCGATGGGGGCCTGAAAGCCTCGCCGCCCACTATCATGCGGACTGGCTATCAGAGGCATATCGCCGATCCATCGGCGATGTATAGCCGTTTCCAAGGATGTTCCACCCCCGTGACGTTCCCCATCACGGGAGACCGTCGCCATGAATTAGCGGCGCGCTCAAGGCAGTAGCGTGAGGGGGACGGCATTCTAAAAAGGCGGGGGAGTCTGAAAAGGCAGGAAACTTCGTGGAAGCAGGGCCGGCTATTCGGCCGCCTCCTTAGAAGTCTTTGGGCCTTTCTAAGAAGGCCCCTGTTTTTTCCCAATCATCCTGTGGTGTTGGGTCATCGTCTTGAAGAAACAGCGCCCCGTGTTCTCCTTCCTTCCTTGATCCTCCTCCCCCTCCTCCGCCATTTCGTGGCCCCATAGGGAGCTCCACCGAAGGCCCCAGTGGGACCGCCCGCATGCGTCATCCACCACCCAGCACAGCGCTTCGTGGCCGCATAGAGGGCTCCACCGAAGGTTCCAGTGGGACCGCCCTCATGCGTCATTCACCGCCCAGTACAGCGCTTCGTGACCTCATATGGGGGTTCCACCGAAGGCCCCAGTGGGACCGCTCCACCGCCCAGCATAGCGTGTCGTTGCCCCACAGGGAGCTCCACCGAAGGCCCCAGTGGGACCGCCCGCATGCGTCATCTACCGCCCACTACAGCGCTTCGTGGCTTCATAAGGAGCTCCACTGGAGGCTCCAGTGGGACCGCCCGCGTGCGTCATCCACCACCCAGTACAGCATGTCGTGGCTCCATAGAAATGGGACCGCCCGCATGCGTCATCCACCACCCAGTACAGCATTTCGTGGCCCCACAGAGGGCTCCACCGAAGGCCCCAGTGGGACCGCCCTCGTGCGTCATCCACCACCCCGTGCAGCGTTTCGTGACCCCATCGGGAGTTCCACCGAAGGCCCCAGTGGGACCGCCCGCGTGCGTCATCCACCACCCAGTACAGCGCTTCGTGACCCCATAGGGAGCTCCACCGAAAACCCCATTGGGACCGCCCGCATGCGTCATCCACCACCCAGTACAGCGTTTCGTGGCCCCGTAGGGAGCTCCACCGAAGGCCCCAGTGGGACCGCCCGCATGCGCCATCCACCACCCAGCACAGCATTTCGTGACCCCATAGGGAGCTCCACCGAAGGCCCCAGTGGGACCGCCCTCATGCGTCATTCACCGCCCAGTACAGCGCGTCGTGACTTCATATGGGCTTCCACCGAAGGCCCCAGTGGGACCGCTCCACCGCCCAGCATAGCGTGTCGTTGCCCCACAGGGAGCTCCACCGAAGGCCCCATTGGGACCGCCCGCATGCGTCATCTACCGCCCACTACAGCGCTTCGTGGCTTCATAAGGAGCTCCACTGGAGGCTCCAGTGGGACCGCCCGCGTGCGTCATCCACCACCCAGTACAGCATGTCGTGGCTCCATAGAAATGGGACCGCCCGCATGCGTCATCCACCACCCAGTACAGCATTGCGTGGCCCCACAGAGGGCTCCACCGAAGGCCCCAGTGGGACCGCCCTCATGCGCCATCCACCACCCCGTGCAGCGCTTCGTGACCCCATCGGGAGTTCCACCGAAGGCCCCAGTGGGACCGCCCGCGTGCGTCATCCACCACCCAGCACAGCGTTTCGTGACCCCATCGGGAGCTCCACCGAAAACCCCATTGGGACCGCCCGCATGCGTCATCCACCACCCAGTACAGCGTTTCGTGGCCCCGTAGGGAGCTCCACCGAAGGCCCCAGTGGGACCGCCCGCATGCGCCACCCACCGCCCAGCACAGCATTTCGTGGCCCCAGGCAGCTCCACTCAAGGTCTCCGCGGCGGAACTCGCATGGCGGCCCAGTGACGGAGTTCGCACGGCGGCGACTTTCGGTTTTCTGAGGTTTTTCGTTATATTCGACGTGTTGAGGCCGCTGTCGGGCCGCGCACCCTGGGCGGTGGCCAGCCTGCTCGCTCTCTCTGCTCCGCGCAGCGGACGACCCGCGCGCGTCGCCGGGACCCCTGCGGGGCGACTAGCGCGCGTCGCGGGGGCTCCGCGCGGCGCCGCGCCCGCAGCCGAGGGCGCGGGCGTGCGCGGGCGAAGAATGAGAAGAATAACAGGAAGGAAGCGGGCGCAACTTTCGCGAGAGGCGCGCCGACATGGGCGTCGACATTTATGCGCGCAGACTCATCCACAATCAGACTCACTCGCTCTCAGTCTCTCGCACGCAGACCTATCGTCGTCGCTCGCGCTGCGCGCCCCGCCGCGCACGCCGGCGCCCCCCCCGCGCGGTTCGTGGCCCCGCAGGGGGCGCGGGCGAAGATGGCGTTCATAATCGCGGCATTCACAAGTGCATGTGGTCGGGTCCTTTGCCAGGCTAATAGAGCAGTTTGATGTCTCGCTAGAAGGCTGCCCCCTCGCGCGGCAACCCGCGTGCGCCCCGCCAAATGAAAGGAAGGGGCCCTTGGAGAAACGGGGCGTGGAGGGCGTTGACCTTGGCGGCTGTTTCTAGACTCCTCGTTCGCCCCCTGGGCCTTCGGATTCAAAAGCATGCTCTGGAAGAAAAGCAGTTCCCCAAAAGGGGGGCAGCCCTGGGGCCCAGGGCCCCGCCCCCTCGCGGCCTGCCGTTTATTTACGCAGCAACTGCGGCGCGATGGGGAAGCGGGGGGTCGCGGGGAAGAGGCGACGAAAAAGGCGAGAGTCGGATGGGGGGGGCTCGGCGGAGACTGGCGCAGGGCCGGCATAATGCGACAGAAGTGCACGTGGGACGTAGTTTTTCAGACCTGGGAATCTTGCCACGTAGCTTGAGGCGTCGTGCTCTGTCTTGCGCGCGAGTAGTTTGCGCGCCCCCTTTCGTCTTCTAATCCTTCCTCGCTCGCCCCCCCCCCGCCCCGTCGCCTTCCAGATGCCGTCGCTTTCGCGTCGCCGAGGCCCCGGGCTGAAACAGTTATCGCCAGTGGCTCAGCCCGACCCTTTGCTCTCAGGGAACTGGCGCTGCATTCGCACCTGGCAGCGCCCAGGAGGAACCGCTCAAACCTTCGCAAGAAACACCGGGCAGTCAAAGCATTGAGGGAAGATAGAACGCAAACCCGCCTACCAAGCAGAGCATCTGAACGGCGGGGTTCTTTCGTAGGAGTCGGTCGAAATCGGTGCCGCCTCGGCCCGTTTCGTCGTTCTCGGCTGCCCCCCCTTTCCCCGCCCCTTTCCCCCCCCCCATTCCCCTTTCGCAGCTATTCAATATGAATATACTCTCCCTCTTCCCCTGATGGCGTCCGGGCGATAGCCGCGCGCCCTCCGCGCATTGTTTTTTTTTGCACACAGGATGCCAGAAAAATCCCGGGAAACGACTCTCGCTGAGGCGCCGGCGCCATTTTTTCCCAAAATGCTGCTCTCGCGCCGGCGTCATTTTTTCCCAAAATGCTGTTCTCGTTGAGGCGCCGGCCTCATTTCTGCTCCCGAATCCTTCCCCTGATGGCGTCCGGGTGATAGCCGCGCACCCTCCGCGCATTGTTTTTTACACACCGGATGCCCGACAAATCCGGGGAAACGACTCTCGCTGAGGCGCCGGCGTCATTTTTTCCCAAAATGTTGCTCTCGTTGAGGCGCCGGCCTCATTTCTGCTCCCGAATCGTTCCGAATCGGGCCCCCGCTGCAGCGTGGGCTTCATTTTCGGATCGGTGTTTGGCCTCCGTCGTTCAGGATGGCGTTCTCGCCCCAGCGCGGGCCTTTTTCTCGCGCGCCCATCCGCCCGCCACCACCGCGCCCCACCGCCGCCACCGCCACCACCACCACCACCACCAACACCACCACCACCACCACCACACCACCACCAGCACCAGCACCAGTACCACACCACCCACCACCACCACCACCACCACCAGCACCACCACCACCACCACCACCACCGCCACCACCAGCACCAGCACCGGTCACCACCACCAACACCACCACCACCAGCACCAGCACCACACCACCAGCACCACCACCACCACCATCACCACCACCACCACCACCACCACTACCACCACCACCACCCACCACCACCACGACAACCACGCACACACGCACGCACGCACGCACGCGCACCACCACCCACTACGCACGCGCGCGCGGAGCCACAGGTCCGCTACGACACGCGTCCGCGGATAGAGAAAATCAGCGCCATGGTAAGGGATGGGAGGGAGGGGTAGGGCGTCAGATATGACGCGAGCGTACCTAGCTCGCCCCCCCCCCTCCCCCCCCCCCCCCACCCCACCCCCCCTGCAGGTTTCAAGGGGCAGCCAGGGGCCCGCGGCGAGAACTCACCCCGGAAGGCCCCGATATCAGCCATTGGCTCACATGGTTGAGGGCGAAGACGACGGGGGTCTCTAGCGGGGCGGCGGTCGCGGGCCGTCGGCCGCGGCGGACGCCAGCGCGCTAGCATATTTGCCGGCCAACCACGTCGACGACGTCGACCAGCCAGGGCCTTATACCACTCGGGGGCGAGGATTCACATTGAACGGGTGACGATCGGATCACGTCGACGACGATGGCGATCGCGGTCTGGGGCCGCTGCAACGGCGCGGCGCTGAAGGCGGGCGGAATGCGACAACGACGACACGAGGAGATGAATCTTCCTGGTCGAATGCGTCTCACCTCCTCCTGCGCGGCCGTTCGCCCGCGCCCTTCCGAGCGGCCGCGCAAGAAGTGGGGGCGGACAAAACGTTGCGACCGGGGGGGGGGGGGGGGGGGGGGGTCGATCGCGGAGGCGGGGCAGGGGATTCGCATGAGGGGCGATTTGCACTGGGGGGATCAGCAAGGAGGGCGAACGAGTAGAGGGACACACGAGGACAGTTGGAATTACGCAACGAAGAGCAGGGGGGAGGGGGCGATGCAGAGGGGGAAGGGCGAATGATACGGAAGGGTGGTTAGGGTTATGATGATGATGGCGAAGTTGGTGGTGGTGATGATGATGATGATGATGGCGACGATGGTGATGGCGATGCCAATTGGGGGATGATGCTGGCGATCATGGTGGCGACGATCGCGAGATGATAGGGGGGGGGGTCCCTGGTGGATGGGGCGTTAGGGGAAGCGGATTGCGAGGGGTACGGTGCAGCCCTAATTGGAGTACTCCGCCGACTCGGGCGCTGCTGCGGACCCAGATCAGATCAAGAAGCGCGCCCCCCTCGTTCTCGAGTTGAGGACGTTCGCTCC